ACTGGCTTCTTATTTTTCTCATTTCTCAGTAAAGTTTCTCCCAGAGCTACCATGTTCTGTATTTTGGCCTCTCCTGCATCTTTGAGGGCTGTGATTTCCTGTATTAAAGAAGCAGAAGCAGTACATACACAACTCTTTCTGATTACAAAATAAAAAGTATTACCAATGATTTTTACCAATTATTTTTTTCATATTTTGTACACTGCTGCTCCAGACAAAAGAATTCTCTTTCCAATACATAAACAGGTGCATCGTCTAGTTTTAGAAAGTCTGATGTACACTGCTGCTCCAGACAAAAGAATTCTCCTTCCAATACATAAACAGGTACATCGTCTAGTTTTAGAAAGTCTGGGATAATGAAGCTGAAGTTTATTAATTATTCACTACACAATCAATCCAACACTGTGCTGACAAAATAAAGGAAATGTTATAGAGAGATATTTGGCATGATACTACCCCTTCCATGGAACGAAACATGTAAATCGTCATCCTCATTTCTGGCTACTCTGTTAGGCAGCCTCCTAAGTAGTCAGAGAGAGGAGACACCAAAGAGGACATTGGGGCCTGAGACCCACCCAGGCAGTGGAGCAGCCCAGCACAACAGCACTGCAGGACACCCAAGAAGCCACATACTTTGCAGAGGCTCTCTGGGTGCCCCAGCTAAGTTACTGACCTCCCTCTCCACCTCTGGAGTAGGCTATGATGGGAAGATGCATGGTCACCAGCACCTTATGAGTTCAGTGCTGCTCCACTCAGAAGTGCAGCAGAGAATCTCATGTGTGTAATAAACTATGCAAAAAATCCTCCACAAAACCCAACACCACCCACCCACCCTCCCACAAATAAGGAACAAAACCACAGGCAATCAGCAGTGACAGTATCTTTTAGGAGGTATTGACTCATCAAGCATTCCCCTGATATCAGCATGAGCTGTGAAGTTGAAAAGAAAAACATTTAACACAATACCTTTATCTGATTAATCTTTTCGTCTGATGCCAACTCACTTTCCTGTGAAATCAAGTTATTAACAGCCTCCTCGAACTTTTTGATCCAGCAAGAAACATCCTGGGCAAGTTCTTCAAAGTTCTGTCCTTCCACTGGAAGTCTCTCAGTGTTCCCTGCCATTTCACTTATACATGTAATCAGTGTGTGGTATCTACTAATAAGGTCACTGGCTTCTGAAACGGTTTTATCTTCCTTCAGCCCGGCCTCCCTCAAGGAATTTGCTAGCTGAACCATGGAGTCAAACGGTTTTCTGAAAAATACAAAAAAAATAATAAACATCTATTTGTTGTAACAACTTGGAGCAATTTTCTTTAGAAGACAGTTCTTAGATAGAGACCAAAGAAAACGATACCTCTGCATTAATAGTGTTTTATAGAAGTTCTCAAGTTCTGTCTCATCTTTTTTAATCTCTTCTAGTTTTCCTTCCTGAGCAGTGAGCCATTCTTCCAAGACAGTGTTGCTTTCTTCAAGGCTAAAAGCAGTACAAATATAGACACAGGTCAAAATGGGAGGCATTACATGACTAAAACCTGCTGACACCAGTGTTTTGCTGAAACATAAATATCATAAAATATCAAAAAGTCATAAATATTGCCTGATCAAGCAAAGTTTTAAGCACAAGCTTAATTTTCTTAAGTATCTCAGTTCATATCACTGAAACGATCCAAAAGCACATACTCCCATATAACACTGAGTCTGCTACAAAGTGAAAAAACATGAGGCATAGAACAAAACATTCACCACCCTTTATCAAAACACTATCTTTAATAAAAGCAGGGTTGTTTGCCATTCACTATGGCTGTTTAATAATGAATCATTTTATAACACTTGTGATTAAAATGTCAGAAACTACATTAGTTCCCTACCTACTGAGCTGCTGGAGAGAAGCACCGAGTTCCTTTTCCCGTTTCTGACATTTGGAGATTAATCTTTGTAGTTCTGCTTCTTGATCTCTCACACGGCCGTTGAGGTGGCTAATGCTTGCTTTGGGCAGGTAATGCTTCACTTTATTCAATAAAGTTTTAACCTCTTGGATATCTCGGTCTTTGCCTTCAGATGTTAAGAAGTGCTGAATAAGAGCACAAACACAAGATGCATTTGTCAAATTTGCTGTTGTACAACAGATAATTATGTTACACGAGTTTTTCAACTCCTGATATTTCCACTGACATTTTCCACAGCAATTCCAGTTCCTGAAAAGGAATATATGTTAATTCACAGTTTGCTGACTACCCCACTTGCAAATGGAAAAGTTGCTGTTTGTAGAATAAGGAGAAAGTGAAGTAGATGACTTGGATTTTCTTCTCTACAACACAAATACACACAGAAGAAACAAGCAGCATTCAAATCTAGCACTGACATCACTATGTCTTCTGCTGCTTAACTGTGAGTGCTTCCTGCAGATATTGTGGCTTCGCCATCTCTTTTCTGTTGATTCTGTCTGACTTGGAGTGAAAATCTAGCTACAAAAAAGTGAATAATAATTTTTCACATTTGAGTCCAATGGGGGTGTGGAAAAATAACAGAAATTGGGGGGGAATGGGAGAATATTGTCTCCCAAAGTCCAGCTTATGTCTTAACATGAGCTGTAATATTAGAGCAGCCTTGAGATAAGACACAGGTGCTGCTCCCAGGAACAGAACGCACTTGGAATGGACAAGGCCTGCATCTAGCCAGACGGAATGTGCAACATCCGTGACGTGGGGAACGGAGTGGTACGGAGGTACTGCGGCTCATCCCTGTTATCATGGATAAAGAATGTCCAGCAAAGATAACCACATATTTGCTATCAAAGAAGCTGGATCACAACTACTGCCTCAGCAATGATGGTGAAATCATGTCCTGAAGCTGAACTTTGCTCATTATAACATCAATATAATACCAAAATACACCTCCACCTCAAAAGCCACTCCCTCCGGGAGACGCAAAAATATGTATGACTAAAGTCACTCAAGCTCCACCTAAAAGTAAAGAAATAGTATATAATGGCGAAAAATAAGGAGGATGTTAGGGAGAAGACCTCCATCGAAACATCTGGGATCAGTCGATGGGCTGGATCTCTCTTCTCCCCACCATAAGGACACCTATTGGGTAAGAGCTCTGTGTTATGCACATTTACTTACCAACATCTTGCTAGCTATTGAGTATTATCACTGACCAGTTCTGGTTTTATATTATTCGACATCAAATCTGTTTTTGGAGTCAGTCCCTATCACTGGCTATCTTTGAATCTGTATCCTGTCACAACCATATGTAATAAAATTTATCATATATATATAAAAATATAAATTTCCGAACACTCCATAATTGATACAGAGGACATAAGGGATTTGGCCCGTTGCGCTGCCCGTGGGGTCCCTGAAGAGGTTAGACGAACACCCTCTGACTTAGCGGGCTGCCCAGGGAGGCAGGCAGGTCGGGTACGAGGGTCTTGTCTTTCTTGGGAAACTGGTAGACTGGTCAGATTGCTCCCTGACCTCTGTAGACCTGGCCTTGTGTCATAATGTGAAAGATTTCAGATTTTCATTTTACTGTCTATATACTTGACTTTCTGCATCTTTGCACACTGAAGTATTTGGTGAAAGTGCATTCACTTTCACTGAATACCGTCCCGTCTCTTACTTGCCCAACTATGTATGACCTTGAACAGTGATACTCCATTTTAACAAAGTTCTATTTTCATTCGACGACCTATCCTAATGCTTTAAGTTACATGAAACGTTATCGTAGCCTCAAGTTAACAAAACCACTGAAGGCGAATTCACTCCCTAGAACAGACTCCTGTGTAAAGAAGTAAAACTTCAAGAACAATTAGCTTTAGAAATTAAAACACTTTAATACTTTACCTTTAGCCTCTGCAGTCTTTCTTCCAGTATCAGTTTTGTTTCTGAGGGGTCAAAGCAGTCCTTCAAAGACAGCTGAGTGCTGCTGAACCAGTCATTAAAATTCTTGCACTGACCTGAAAAAAGATACATTTACATTTTCTTCATTAATTGTATTCTGTAAAACAAAATCCTATTTAACAGGAAGATTTCAGACAATTTGTAATCACATTTATCAGTGCTACTGTCAAAGGTTGTTTTTCACTACAGACCATGTGACAGAAAATGCTCCACTTCATACTTCTTTTTACCCAACATTAATTGACAATAAACACAGCTGTTCACTTCAGAGGAGCAGTCTGCTATACACAGCAGTTTCAGTACACAGGACCTGGATTTCTTCTCATTTCCACACAAATAAATATTACTCAAAAACTATTTGAAGATGAGACTACCTTAAGGGCTAGTTCTACACCTGCACAATCCTGTGTCTGCATAAAACAAAATGTAACTAATAATGCTACCCATTCTTGTAATTAAGATTAAATTAAAAATGACTGGAAAAAAAAAGTTTGATTTCTGCATTTTTAAATTAAATGATATGATATTTGTTCCAGAATTACACTTTATACTTATGTTATCTTTTTTTTAAATGTAAAAAAAGAAACAAAATACTTTGATTCAGATTGAGTGGTTTGTTGGAATCAAAAGCCATTTTTATCCAAATCTTTATTTTGCTCCAAATCTTGAAGCAGTTTGCGGTATCAAAGAGGCTTCAGACACCAAACCAAAAATAAATTAACTGCCTAACCTTTAAGTGATTATGATAGAATCATAGAACCATAGAATCATAGAATGGTTAGGGCTGGAAGGGACCTTCAAAGGTCATCTAGTCCAACCCCCCTGCAAGGAACAGGGATATCTCCAACTAGATCAGGTTGCTCAGGGCCTCGTCCAACCTGGCCTTGAACGTCTCCAGGGATGGAGCAATTATGATGGTCAATACAAACGTATAAAGCTACATAAACATGAAATGTGCTTGCTTACGGTTCAAAACACCGATAAAGTGATCTTGAAACACATGTTTCTTCTTATTAAATAAATCAGTGAGACATTTAAGCTGCTTATTTAATTCATCCACATCAGGACAATCCGTCTCTTCTTGGAGTAATGTCACATGGTGTTTTTGTTGCAGAATTTTCTGGTGTATCTCCTAAAGTTAAAAAAAAAAGGACAACTGTTAAAAAGAAGAATGTGAAGTGACAGCAGAAGTTCACTGTACAGAGCTGCTCTAGTACAATCTAGAGTTTTGCAAAAGAGTTTAGTCCTGCCTATGTGTCAAACTAATTTCTTGAAGTATATTGCCATTAATGAGGCAATCAGTAGGTAGATACAAGCACTAAACTCTCCTTGAGCAGCGTGTATACATCTGTATGCATACATAATCACACATACATTCCCACGTGCACATTTTGGCATCGCACAGAACAGATACGTGACGTGCATAGCAACACAGTATGTTCCAGGGCATATAATACTGAGAAGCTCTAATGTCTTAGCTGCCACAGGCACTATACCACCCCTAACTGCCTTACTCTGTATGTCAAGTCCCTTTCAAGTGGGTTGAAAAATAACTTAGAGAGAGCTGGGAGAATTAATTAAAAACAGTATCTTTCTTCCAATGTCTGTGGGGCAATTTCACTGCCTCAAACACCGGTGGTCTTACACCTACAACACACATAATCCACTCACTGCTCAACAGGAGATTTAAATCTTGCCAGCCTTGAACCTCCAAGCAGGAAGCATCTCTTTTTTCACCTCTCTCCCTGGTGCAAAGCGGAAAGTTGGCTTAAATTGCCTTCTGGGACCTCCCCTTGCAGGCAGGCTCAGGTGGCACAAAGACAACCTCTGTATATTACCTAGTCTTGGAAAAGATACAACCCAGTACCCCCACTACTGCTTCAACACATCTCGGGTGGTGGTGATACACTGCTGTCACGACTATCACTAACCATATCCAATAGCTGCAAGGGTTAACTGACTACATCTGGTAACACCCAGTGAAAACAGCCTTTCATTCACGTTTCTGGCAGCTTAAGGAACTATTCAAATCAGGCTCTTCACTTGAGATATTCCAGCAGTTTACAACATCTACAGGAGAAATATTTATGAAGACATGCCCAGGAGGGAAATAATGAACAAAATTATAAAAGATGCGTGATTTGTGGCATGCTACCTCTAATTTAGTAAAGATCTCTAAGGTGTCAGAAGGAGATAAAGCTTTTAAAAGTGATTCAGTCATTCCAATCTGTGTCTTGGCCAGATCAAGGTCTCCTTTTAACTCTGCTGTATTCACGCTGAGTTCACTGATCCCCCGCTTCGTTGAAAAGAGCTCTTTGATTAGGTCCATTTTTTGCACAACAGATGATCTGATGACCTTAAAATTCGAAATAAACATAATGTAAGAAATTATACAGGATTGATTTCCTACAATTTTACAGAACTTCATGACAGACGTAAAAAGCAATGAAATGATCTGAAGTCCAGACATTTCAATCACAGCCTGTTCCAGTTTCCTTCCCTCCCACTCCACAAATTGAAAAATAATAGTATTTATGCCCTGCTTTTCTGAGGAGGAATGATCTCAGTTCATCTTTATTAGTGATGCATTTACTGGTGCTGCTTTACTAATAAATTTATTTGTCAGTCTACTCCAGTGTCTACTTTCAGCTGGATAAAGGCCTTCCACGTGCTTTGGCTACCAGGAAATAGAGGGTGCCAGCTCTCTCCATAACACACCTCCCTGCAGTGATCCCACTGGGGCAAACTTCCCACACCAATCCAAAAAATAGGCAAGGATGGCAGAGAGGTGGGAAGCTCTGGCTCAGGACTAGTCACCAGAAGCAACAGGTCCTTAACCTTATCCTTAAGGCTTTCACTGATTTGCATGAGACAGCAACTCAGTGGGGTCATGGTCACATGCTGAAACACCTCCCCAGGGTGCTCAGGGTGTCTGGTGCTCCCGAACAACATAGTGTGCACAGCACAAGGTTGCCAGAGTCCCTTCCTAAGCTCCTTAGATCACTTTACCCAGTGAAACTCCTTCGAGTTCACTGTCTGCTGAGGATAAACATGCAAATAGCCAAACCGGGTCAAGCGGAAGGTGTATATGATAGAGACTGGGAGCAGATCCTTAGGAAACTGGTATAGGATCAAGGTAGGCTAACGTGGTCTCAAACAGTGGAGCTTGCTGTGTGACGTTAACATGAAAAGATGAAGATTTTCTTGTGATATCCCAAAGGAAAACATCACAGTAAACATCACTCTATGCAAACAGCTACATTCTAGCAAGCTACATTAAGCCACATCCAGGTAATGGTATGCTTTAAAATAGATGGTCAGCATGCTAAGTTGCTGGGATCCCCTAAGGGATGACAAGGTCTGTTTTGCCTTGTTCTTGGCCAATAGCTAAATATCACTGATATTGGCCCCTTTCAGCAGGCCCACAAAACAATTGGGTCAGGTCTAAGTCCCTAAAAGGCACAGGACCAAGAGAGGTCTTTGAGTTTAAAATGACAAGTTTGGTTCTAACAGCTTAAGAAAGACAACAAATGAAATGTCACTGCTAATAGCCAACAAAATGCCTCCAATTCTCTTGGGGGAGATTTAAGTCAAACCAAGATATGATTGTGGCAAAGACTATAGTAGAAGTAGGGCTGTAGTAATGAGTACTAGCGTATTAGCTCTAAAGGCTTCTTTGCACCTGTAGCTCCAGCGGAGGTTCATTACTATTCAGAAGTTCTTCTATCTCAGCCACTGTGTTGTCAAATTTCTGGAGTTTCTGCTCTTGGACTCGTAAGCATGCCTAAAGGTGGAAAAAACACATTGGTAATTGCCTTTCCCCCAAATTTAATTTCCATGTTTCTGTTAGAAAACTGTATTACTAACATTCTGATGCTGCATTTTGGTATATAGAGCTCCCATGACTGGTCCATTTCCTGATTTTCATTTTAGCAATTTAGGCATTTTTTGTATTAGAGTCAGAAATACTCAATGTTTCTCAGGCAAAGCAGTTATTAATGCAAATCTGGCATAAATTTAACAATCTTAATTATTTTACATCTGTATTAACCCAAGTAAATTTGCAGGAAAACAATCTTAATTTTGTATTGATTTCTTGCTGCTTCTATTAAAAAGGGATATTCTCAGATGTTGCAGACTTCAGACCAAAAATTGGCATCGCAGTCATATGCTTGAGTAAAGATGTGATAAAATACGATACATGCTGTAAGCACTTTTTAAATATAAATCCTTTGTATATGAAAAGACCTCTACTTATTTGAATGGATTTGGAAAAAGCCAGTAATGTGAAAGTAAAATATCAGCTTCAACTTATGAAACAGGATATATCTAAAATAACCACATTGTCTCATATTTCCAAATTGATATTCCAGACTCCCTCAGGACCAAGTATTCCTTTGCAGTCTCTGTACAAGCAATCATCAAAACCCATTCACATGCTGCGGCCTTTAAAAGAGTTCCCATTTCCATATCGGCTACAGAGGAAAGCAGAACTTCTCTCACATTATTTATGCTGAAATGATCCTTAAATACACAGTCAAATGATTCATTACTCTGTTCTTCTGTGACAGGTTTCTTGAAAGCACATGCACCTGTGCTCTGCTGGGTGGTCACAAAGGACCCTGGGTTTCAACCTTATGTAACATGATACACACTGCAATGGTTGTTGATTTTTTCATAATTAACATCAATGTAGAGATGTTTCAAGATCAACAACAAAAGAAATCATAACAAATTGATAAATGAACCTGATGCCCTCTGCACTTTAACTCATTTTACAAAAATACCAATGCACTGAGTTCAGTTTTCCCCTCCTCTATTCAGCTTTTATAGTAGCTCATGGTTAACATGGTTTCTCTCTCCTTTGCCCTCTTCTCCTCGCTCTTTTGAGAATTATCCTCTTGCATGAGAGCAGCAGAGTAACCTTAGCACAGCCTCCTCCAGCACAGCCCTTCCGAAGCACCAGGAAGGCACGTCATGGTCACATCACGCCGGGCTTGAGCAGTTTCCAGGTAACAAAATGGCTCTTAAGATGCAGTTGCCAGCTGGTGCATTTTTACTGGAGCCCTCAGGGACCTGAACTACCCCAGGTAAATTCTAACAACGCAATGGTAAAGGCAATAATAACGTAACAAAATATCCACCTCTGCACTACACCACCTCTGCGTGTACACTACTCTTCACTGGGAGGATCTATAAACAAAGAACACCTTGGCTTTTTACTGCTCTGCAAATTAAAACAAATGAGCAGTGCTAACAGTAGCAGTAAAGCTGCAAATAAGCATAATAAAAACCAGAGCATTTGTAGCATGTAAACACTGAGAAGAAACTGCCTGCATATTTTCAAACAAGCGGATACGGGATATATTTATATTTGAACCCCACTGAAGCAGGAAATTACTTTTGTTTAGTAGATAGTGGCTATAAGCACAACGAAGCAGTGCTGCTGGTCGATTACGACCCTAAAGTCAGAAACTAAAAGATGCCAAAAGTTAATGTTATGATCTGTGTGAACGGGCAGCCCAGGCGTTGCTGATGCCTGCCCACGTGCAGCCCCTGGAGACCCTTAGCAGCCAGTCGCTATTGAGGCTGCATTAAGTTATGCTGGAGAGCACACTGGGACAAGGATACACTGGGGAGCACAGTGGGACAAGGATCACAGGAGCAAATAAGCCACCTCTGCAACCTCTGCTTGAACTGTGTGTTGCCCAGCCACTTCTGAGACTCCCGTATCTTCACTGATGGGCAATTTCTAACTAATCATTAGCCTATACATCCTCTCTTCCCTTTCTTCTCTAGGCACAAAGAAATATGTGCAGCACTGTACTCCAGCCTACAAGCTTTCCAGGCCTTCTCTTTGCTGCATTCCTATCTGCACAGCACAAAGGAATGAGGGGGCTTTTGTAGCTTCAAGCAGCATTTGCAGTGTTGCATTAATTTAAAACAATTTAGTATGCATGTACACTATCTATTTATTAGTTTCCAAGACCTGTATCCCCAATATATTATGCAGTATCTTCAGTGAAACTATCCATGCAACGATACGACCAGTATCCAGATACGACCACAAATGTTACAACTCCCTCTGCTTTCGCAGTGCTGGTATTTCTATGCGATGTGCGTGTTTATAGTCCAAAGTCCATACCACTACAGTATCAGTTAAGGGTAAAAAATTTGCATTCAAATTACCTTCAGCTGCGTGAGGTCCTCTTCAGTCAGACAACGGTCTTCTACGTTCTTAAGTTCTGCACTTGCCCAAGCGTCGATTGTGCCAGATAAACTAAGAAGTTTGTCCCACAAAGCCTGAGCTCTTCCCAAATTATCGCAGTAGTTTTCAGTCTTTTCATTGATCTGCCATGAGATTTATATACAGAAAACACACAGGGATTTCAAAAATCTTGAGTTATATTCTAAAAGCGAGGGCAGCATAATAAAATTTGAGCGAGAGGAAACCACCCACAAAAACAACAAGCGCGGCAAGGGAAAAAAATCTCATGTGTCTTCACAGTGAACTGGTCATGGAGAAGATATTTAAATCCCTGCCACACATGTCGCCAAACATACCAATCACAACGGCAGCCTGCCAGTTTTAAGGCAGGTTTAGGAAGGAGCCTTGCTCATTAATGTTTATCTACTCTCAGTAAATACCATCTAATCTCAGTATTGATGCACTGCTTAGATCGACAGTGGCAAACATTTCTCACCAAAAGCACTAGCATTCTAATTCTCCAGATTGTCTCCCAAGTCTAAATCCACAGAAGTTGTTATGGAAGATTACGGATTTGTGCAGAAAGCACAAATATTGCCTTTCTGCATTTCCCAGAATTATTTACTGTCAAGGAGTATCCATGACATAAACTACCTGAGAGATCAGAAACATTACGCCAATAGACACTCTGCAAGCTTTGCTCTGGTAAACACTTGCATTTATCTCTTAAGAGTCTTTGCCATATTGCACTTAATTTATTCCAAATATTACACATGCGTCAGAATCAATTACTATAATGCATAACAGATAAGACCACCCTGATAATTTACTTTTTACATACATCCAGCCATCTGTCCACAATAATGTTAGCCTCATTCTCGAACGGAGGCTCCTCAAAGCTTCTCATTTTATTGAGCTGGAATTGAAGGTTTTTGCAGATCTGGTTTATTTTGTCTACATCTTCAGAATGATTATTAAATTCCTCTTTTGCCTCTTCAATCTGTGAAAAAGACCAAAAGGATATTTATGAGCATGTTTATTTATGACTGTTTATTCAGCAAAACATTTTTAACTGATGTGCTGTTCTTTTCAGCTTAGAGAAACAACAGCATTACACAAAATAATCTATTTTATATAATATGATGAGACTAGGAATGTATCCTGTGCTGTTATATCCCCGTCATGCCGATAGGAACACTTCCCTCTTAGAAATCCATATCATCCTGTTATTGACTGCAAAACAGATGAGTGGGAACTATGGATAATATATTTCTGACTAAGAGAGCCAAAACTGCAGTTTGCTTTAACAGTTGTACTTGCGAGACCCAAGGGGACTGCACATCCATCCACAGAACCTTGGTTACAGAAATAAACAATGCACAACATAATAATCATCTGAGATACTATTATAACTCTAAAAAACATAACCTGGCATTTTGATCCCCGGTTTTGAACTACTTCAAAGAAAAAAAAAAAGCAGCTTAAATCCTACTTAAACATTGCCATTGTCAAATATGCCGTTGTCAGAAACCGAAATGTCCCTTTTTCCTACTTCCTATTTAAACACTAAGACTGCTTCTTTGTGCTTAATTGTAATGTTAGTGTATACAAACAACATGGAAGCTCGCTGGAAAAGAAACACCGACCTCTAGTGTTAGGCAATATGATATTAAAAGCTCTCCTTATTTCCCATAAAACAAGCATTACATCCTGTCGTACAGATACTGCCAGCCACTGAGATCAGGGCAGGGACGGCAGAGCGGCACTCACAAACCAGAACAAGGCAGAGAATCTTCTCTGTTATTGTTTTATATAATTATGATTAAAAAATCATCAGCACTCAAGGACACGCCTTGCATCATGCTGCAACCATGGCGGACCACAGTTCTGAGAGCGGGAGCTTCATACAAGCAGGGGCCAGGGTACGCAGGTGACCTCCTCTGAAGCAGGGGCCCGAGTGATACGAGATGGCAGAGGTCTCACCGGTGAAACTGAGAAAAGACCCTGCCCCAAATGAAGTGGGGGTGGCACACACGGACACCATCCCATTGCCTGTGGGAAGAAACCACTTACATTCCTTCTTCAATTTAACCATCCCAGGCGTCGCCCGCGAGCAAATGTTCCTGAATGATATGGGTGATGCCTCATCAGAAAGCCCGAAAAATGGGATCTGAACAACCAGTTATACAACTCAGCCAGAAAATGTGAAACCTGTACAGTACAATGGTCACAATGGACACAGTGCTGTTCACGAATCCGTTAGCCGTGGACAACTATGTCCAGTGGTTGTATTCATTTAGCCAAGAAGAACGTAGCTGGCTGTCAAATTTTTGTCTGAAAAATGGTAAACTTTAAACTAAATGAGGGGGTGTCCAGCAATACCTGCTCATTCAGTCTCATCAGCTAAAGTAAAAGCTACTTCAAATGTTCAGCTGCTATCAAAGACAGCATGGAGCAAATGTTGGTTACAGAGGCCAAGGCTCTTATATAAAAGGTCTGTCTTCTAAGTAGGTTTGTAACATAGGAGAAGAGGAGAAATACCAAACTACATCGGTATGGCTTCTAACTGCAGCACAGTTTGGCCAGCAAAGTCAGTGTGAGGGCAGAGATTCATGCTGCAATTGTAACCAGCTCAAGAAAGTATCATATCATCAGCCCAGTCAAAACCATTTCAGCACCATGCTGGCAATCCCCAAGCTGTCTCTGAGTGCAGTGGCAATGACATCTGCAAGGTACACAAGCTCCAGCCTGGGAAGCAGGACAGATCTGTCCTGGCCCAGTCTCTGAGCAGATGTGCCATGCTGACACAGCCTTACGGCTCCTGTTCCTGATCCTGCTTGCTCAAAGCTCGCTGAAGATCTCTGCACAGCCCTGCAGGGTGCACGCAAACCCTGCAAGCCCTGCCTGGGACCCACTGACACAAGCAAGGAGAGGATACGGATCCAGATTCTTGGTGATAAGCTACAGTGACAACAGAGAAACAAGAAGCCTCAAGGAGTTGCATTACCTATTATTTTTGCCATGGTACAACATTTTAAAGTATCTTCTTAGTAACAAGTGAATTTGCTATTTCTGTAGATTTACAAACTGCCCGCTATAAGGTTTATAACTTGGTAGAAAATATAGAAATATTCTAAAGAATATGGGTGAATATGGCTGATTTCAACATGTGGTTTTGGTAGGACAGGATTTAATCTTATTTTCATACTAGATCATAGTTTTTCTATGGGTTTGTTGTTTGGTTTTTTATCTCTCCCCTTTAACAAGACCTTGATTCACTAACCAAAACTAGATATTAAGGTAAAACAAAACCAGGCTATGGTGTCTAAATGTATTTTGGAAGCCAAAGTGAAATCAAGGTCTTAACATATGCCCTGGTAGAGTGAGTGTGCAAGGGCAACCCTACACCCAAACGCTCCCAGGAAAGGCTTTTCTTTCCTTTTCAGTAAGTTCTTGTTACTCACCTTTGTTATTAGTCTGTTCAAATTCTCCTTCCCCATGTAAGAAGTTTGCTGTGAAAGCAAAATCTCCTGTTTCTGGATGATGCTGGTCAGACTAGTTTTGTAGCTTTGATACTGCTTCAGGAGCTCCAGAGCCCTTGCACACTGCTCCTGGCTATTAAAAAGAGATGTATTATTTATGGCCTAAGCATAAAACAGCAGCCTCAACCTCTTGTCTGCTTCCTTCTCCTACATTGAAACATGTGGGAAGTTTGACTACTATGCTTAGAAGAGAGAAAAGGCAGGATAAACTGCACCAGTCATAAACCCTGCGATACTCTGTGATCCCTGGTGTGGCATTTGGATAGTTTTTGGAAGCAGAAATGCCCTTCGCCATCTGAATCACATTTAACTGTGATGTGACCTCAGCAGTTCAGGTTTACATGATACTCTCCACCTGAAAGGTGAGCTCAGTCACCAGTAAACTGAAATACAACATGCAGCAGGTATCACAACAGCTTGGGTGGTGGACAGTGGGAAATATCGCCTCAGCCCAGCCTGCAGTGGGATATGAAAACAGATTACTCCCTTCGATGCCTGTGTGGGCCAGTCCATGCAAATCATAAAGGCACCTTTAAAAACCTTAAGAGAAGGACAGATGCCCTGGGTCATCAATCCTAGCCTTCCCCAGTCCTCACTCTCTCAGGCTTATCAAACCAAGCTCCTTTATTGTTCTCCTGCATAAAAGACTCTCTGTTTTTGCAGCTGTCCTCTTCCATTTGTTTGTTTTGACTTTTCTTTTTGAATGTACTGGTATGAAATTCATAGCAAATACAGAAGACACAAAGACACATCATTCCCAGTAGCATACAGACTTTTCTTTTGGATATCAGTTAAGTCCAACACTTCACTACATACCTGCCAAATGATGGGACTATGATGTCTTTAAAATATAGAAAATTAATGAGCTTTAGCTGCAAACTTCTATGTGCAATTCTTGGCTTTATGCTAGTTAACAGCATTATAACAGTAACATTTGCTACTGTATCAATATTCCATTGACTTTAAAGTATGGTCTAAGGCTTTTTTGCTGTTTCATTTTACAAGCAAGCTTCTTACTTATACAGTACTACTTCAAAAAGTAGCTTTTCTCCTTACCATTCAGCAAGCAAGAGTTTTGTATCCTCCCATAACCTCTCTGTAACTCTGCATTGTTCATTTGCTTCCTCTGCTTCTTCCTCTTTGATCTGTGGGAGCTTGTTAGCAATTTCTCGCATAGGTTTCATTTCAACAGCAGCACAATCCAATTCCTTTTCCAATTCTGTTAATGATTTTACCCTTTATTAGAAAAAAATGAAATACAGCTTCATATTAAACTATTTTTTTTTCCCCAGTGTAATTATTAAGTTCCCTAGAAATTCATCCTGAGCTGCATATACTAACAAATTACATCATACAAAGTCTAATTTGATCTTCGGTTTGTGTAATTTGACCCAGTTCTTCAGACAAGTTATGCTGACCTAGGCCTTTTAAGAAAGTAATCCAAAATTCCAAAGGCCAATAGGGTCTGTATGCATATAGTGAATTATTTTATACTAAAAGGTAAGTGCATTACAAAAATATGGTCTAAGAAAGGCAGCTATGCCACAGTGTGGGATTTCACAACTTAAAAACTGTCACAGTTTATAAGCTCCTCTCCCATCCCTTTTTCCCTCTGTATAAACAGTAGTGACTTGTTTATCCATCCTTTGCAAGGCTGCACAGGCCTCCTCTGAAACAGTATCAGAGACATACAAATCATGTAAGTGGCTTTCTTGGGGTGTAGTAAAATAATACAAGGCTTCTGGGGTCTCCGACATAAGAAGGACATGGAGCTGTTGGAGAGGGTCCAGAGGAGGGCCTCAAAGATGATCCGAGGGCTGGAGCACCTCTCCTATGAAGACAGGCTGAGAGAGTTGGGGCTGTTCAGCCTGGAGAAGAGAAGGCTCTGGGGTGATCTTATTGCAGCCTTCCAGTACTTAAAGGGGGCCTACAGGAAAGCTGGAGAGGGACTTTTTACAAGGGCGTGTAGTGATAGGACAAGGGGCAATGGATTTAAACTGAAAGAGGGCAGATTTTAATTAGATATACAGAAAAAATTTTTTACAATGAGGGTGGTGAGGCACTGGAACAGGTTGCCTAGAGAAGTTGTGGATGCCCCATCCCTGGAGGTGTTCAAGGCCAGGTTGGATGAGGCTTTGTGCAGCCTCGTGTAGTGGATGGTGTCCCTGCCCGTGGCAGGGGGGTTGAAACTAGATGATCTTTGAGGTCCCTTCCAACCCAAACCATTCTATGATTCTGCACTGCAGAGTTTCAGATCACATGCATCAGTACTCAGCAAGGAGACTCATCTGCCTGTTTGACCATTTTCTTACTGAAAACTAAGATCATAACAATCAACCTTCTATTTTTTCTTCATCAACACTGCTTCAAACGAACACATACAGAGGAGTTTAAAAGAAAAGACAAAAACGGAGAAGGTTTCCTTATTTAGACTGTGACAGAATGAAATAAAACATCAATTCACGGCTTCTTTCAATGCTCCACAGATGCTTCAAGACATATTCAGGTTTCAGTGCTCTCCTGAGAAGGGGCTGCAGGCCCTCCAATTTCACTGAAACTATGAAACTGAAAGAGCTTTAGAAAAGAATCACCTTTGTTGAATTGCTGGAATTGTTGGATCCTTCAAGCCTATTTTGTTAATTCTGTCACGTAGATCCTGAATGTTTTTAAGGAGCTCACTGTTTTTTGTGGAAAAAATCTTGTACAAGTCTTTTTTCTCTGTAAGCATCTGTTCACTTGGGAGATCATAAGTCGCATTTAGTTCTTCAGATAAAGTCTGAACAAGGTTTTCACAGCAAGTCTGTCTTCCACATTCAGCATCTTCCAAACAGATATCAACTGTTTTCAAGCGTTCATCCAAACATTTAGCCTCTTCTGCCATATGACAAACTTCCTGTGCCGCCTCTCTCACTGCTTTTCCCTGTATTTCAGGTTGACCTGAGAGATCTGTGAGACATTTGATGGAAGACTGAATCTTCCTCAATGAGGCCATAAAAGCTTCCAGATCTTTAAGGACTGTCTCACGGATCTGCATTTTATGGCTCATTTCTTCAAGCTGGTTTTGATAGTAAATCATAATTTTACTTGCAGCTTGCAGATCTATTGGATTAAATTCATCTCTTGCTGAACTATCTAGGTGTTCCAATTGTTTGCACACTTCAATCTGATTTAATATGGATCTCTGTAGCTCCTGAAATTGAGAGAAGAGAGAACGACCAACAGTGTTACAAGTGAAAGAAAATCTGTATCCTGCATTCAAGCCGAACCTATGACTGAAAAACAAATTATGCTCACAATAAAAATAAATATGCTAAACAGGGTGGTAAAGAAAGAAAACCTCTTTTTTTCTATTCTGGACTTGGGTGGAGAAATGGAAAAAGAAGAAAAATCAAATAAAATGGCATTCCACAGACAGAGAATTTGCTCAGCATTACAGAAAGCCTCTTTCCAGCAATTAGACAAAAAGGAGAGAAAGATAATAAGAGCCCTGGGACCAAAACCGGCAGGCTCTCGCAGTGGGAGGTCACTTAAGAGCACAGGTGGGCACACAGATGTTTGCTACTCTGCCGTCTTTTAAGTCCTTTAGGCCATACTTTCAGAGGAGACTTGCACGCATTTGAAAATCTCTTGGTGAAGCCTGCATGCTATCTGGTTACAGTCCTCAGACAAACAGCAGTGTGTTAGTGTTGTGAAACTCCAAATGTGCAGAGAGCTGGGAAAAAACTCAAGGTCCCTTCCAGCCAAAGAGAGTCCTCCTAGACAGAGTGCACATGCTCTGCCCTACAGCTTGAAAGACCTAAACCCTACTTAGCTCCAGAGCCAAGGGCAGAGAAATGCAAACTTTCAGTTCTGCGCAGCAGTCAGCGTGTTCAGCTCCAAGTGCTTGTCAAGGACAAAACAATATTCACCCTGTCTAATAGATAGACCAGAGCCCAGGCACAAGATACTCACAGCAAGTGAACAAGTCATTGCATCCGTGCAGAGCTTCCCAAACCATCCTGGAGTGTGCTCAGATACCCCAGCAGATGCGACACAAGGCAGCTTAGCTTAGCTCACAAATTAACACCACATCATGTGTATGACTCCACAAAGCGACGTAAAGCCAGGTGGGAACAATGCAAATGTAGATCAAAGAAAAGTCCTAACCTAAGACAAAATGTTCATGACTGTGCTTTTTACTGTAGAGCCTATTGAGGGTCCCTGGCTGGCTCTACAGGAACAATGACATTTAAAGCACCATCCTGGAGTGTGCTCAGATACCCCAGCAAAAGGGAGTAAAATGCTGTTACAGACTTCAGAAGGTTTGGGAAGACTTCTGAGCGGTCCCAAACTCTCGAGTGAAAATCCCATGAGGTTCTCTAGTTCCTAGACATATTAAAAACTATTCTGGCTACAATGTGGTCTCTGCATTTTCCCTTACCTTCAGTTCCCTATAAGCAAGATCACTATTCATGAGATTAAACTGCTGGATGTCCTTTTTCTTCAGTCGCTGGTCTAATTCACATAGAAGAATGGATTCGTTTTCTATTGGCAAAACAATTTCCAAAGCAGTCCTTAAAGAGTTTGTTCTACAAGAAAGGTAAAAAAAATGAATTGGGAAAGAAAGCAAGAAAAGACACTCAACGTTTTACAGCATAAAAAGCCACAGAGATAACGTAATTGACTATCTAAGAGATCTAAACCTCCTCCTTCTGAGGTCAAAGGAGTTTTCCCATTGATTAATAAGAAACACAGTGTGAATCACAGTGAATTTAATAAAAAGGTTGAAGGAAATAACACTAAACTTGGAAGCGATGTTACAAAAATCTGGCTCTGTGCTTCTTGGAGAGATTCACACTATCTGCAATGTATATATGAACCAAGTATGTTTAAGAAAAGCTTAGTTTTATGCAATTAAAAAAAAAAAGTTAAAAACGTGCAGGTATTTTCTTTAACACGTTATTCCCTTCACATGAGTTACAAGGAACTATTCCTTAGCTAATATCATGAACTGTTAATTTTATACCTGGTACTCATAATATCCTGAAGCTCTTTCCATTCTCCTTTTAGTTTGCTTTTCATCTCAGAGATAACAGCCTGCTGCACTTCATCCACAAGATCTTCTAAGGCAGATGAGATGCTTTCCAATCGTGTCCAACCAGAATTGGTTTCGCTTTCTATCACCTAAAAGATATGCAGTGTTAATATGATATTGTATTTTTCAATGGACTGGACAGTTCATAAAATTACAGTCACAAAAGTCTCTGCAGAAAAAGTGAAAACATAACCTGAAAGTATCTATTGCTTTCTTTTTCTTTAAGACTCCATTTTGAGCTGCATGCAAATCTCTACCTATTTTTTATGATTAAAATTTCCATGTCAAATATATGCCTTGGCTACATTTTATAAAAGGTCCAATAAATATGGTTCAGCCATTTTTACTACAAGAAGGAATGGCAAATATCTCAACTTAGTTATGTTCAAAAGAACAAAATACAAATGCAGAACCGAACCAATTTCTGAGACAATAGATAACCTTGATACTCCTTTCAAGCAAGGACTTGAAAAATTCCAGTAAGAAATTCTCCAACATCGATTATGTGCCTTTTATCATCCCCTTAAGGTTCTCACAAACCTAATCAACTCGTAAGTCCTGGAACAGTTTCATTCTGCACATACACCACTGGCATTTGATAATTCAGCTCTGATGACTCCTTCAGCCCTGACCATGGTCCGTCACTTACCACTCCTGCTGACAAAATAAGCTGCTTTCCATAGTTATTTTCTTCATTGGACCTATTTCAGCCTGCAGATAATAAACTGAGAGCCATCGATTTCTTCTTTCAGCAACACTTGCAAAACTCCACTGCTAAGTAGGAATGCAGTTCTGCTGAATGCTAAACCCTTGATTTCCCTTCTACTTCTAATAAACCTGGTTGTAAGGATGCTCCTTTTCCCTTAGCAATACACATAACACAGAGAGGTGAGGGCTCTACAAGAGAAAATAACAATTTAGGCACCAAGTATGTTTTCAAAACATGAATACTTACCTGTAGTTCAAGCAGCTTATTCTGAAGGCATGAAGTGCCTTTTATTTCATCACTAAAACCAGATGCTACTTTATCTCTGCTGATTTGCAAAAGTTCCTCCAGGTTACTTCTCTGTGTGTTGTAGCTAAAGAAAGATGCAATCACTTTCAGAGAGAATACTACTTCTAGTTTAGTGGAACATGGCAGGGGCTGGGACTTGCTGACCAAGAGATTACTGTACAAAATAAGCACAGTCTATTGCAAATGCATATTTTTACCAAAGTCCCAAGTGAATGGGCATAAATGGGCAACACACAAAAGAGCTAAGAAATTGCTCACCTGGCTAATTTCCAAGTATGAATACCTGTCTGCATTCTCTAAATTCAGTTCTATGAATGTAAAAATGTCAGTTCTTTAAACGCTTGACACATTTTTTTTTATTTTGCAATATTCGAAGTTATCAGTAAGGCAGATACAGATTTTTCTGGCCCAAGAAAAAAGCAGATGAAAAAGTTTTCTAGCTCTAAGCTACAAAATCCTAATGTTTGAAGCATTTAGCTACTATAGTGCTTCCTTATCAATTACAGAGCAATATTAAGTAAACAGTAGTAGAACAAGAACAGAGTTCTGCATAGCAAAAGTGCACCTTATGTTTGATACATTCAATGAACGTCTAGCATAGGATCATCTCAGAATACATGCATTTTATCCTTGAAAAATTACCTCTCTAATAAAGCTGGTATGGGCAAATCACTGTTTTCCTCAAATTTCTGTGCATAGCTTCCTCCATTGTGATGTTTCACATCTGGTTCCAAAACTGTATCTGCAGCAGGTCTGGAGCTCTAAGTAAAAATAAAAAAAGGTAACAATGACCTCTGCGTCACGCTGTGTCAACACATAATGAAGACCAACAGACGTCTGTGAACTCCTGAAAGTAGCAATTGCTTCATGTGTCCCAAAGGAGATGCGAGAGACCATTCATGAATAAAAGATGTGTTTAAACCCAAACGCAAACCAAAAGGGCAAATTTTTGAACATTTGCAGCCAGGTCATTCATTCCTTCCACAGATACTGGATCTTCGGCAAGCACAATCCACTTGTGTAAATTTTTGCTGCAGCTCCATGGACATCGTTGGGCAACTGCAAGGCACTGTCTTCTGCAGCTTTTGCCAGGCTGCTTATACCAGATGCCTTCGCATGCCTCTCACCCTTGACTCCATGATACACTCTACTCCTAAGTTTGAGGCTGGTTGATGTTAGTTATACAACTCATACTTTGATTATCCATGAGAGAAGAGATTTCATTATCGTACCAGGGATAATATTAGTAACCTTACAAGAGATCTCCTTTGATAATAGCCAATCCTTACATATCTTCAAACTTTACATAAATGCAATGAGTCTTTTCCTATAAATCACCAGTCTGGAGGCTGTCTGATGAGCTGTCTCCAGCCTTACTTGCATGAACGTTTATCCTAAACGAGACATCTGCAACATCCAAATGATGAACTGCAGTTATCTTGTCTCTCTGAAATGATTTCTAACAAGTTACATGTGTTCTGGTTTTCCCTGTATTTCTCTAAGGCAAATGCCTCCAACTCTTCACTTTTCCTCTCTGTGTCCTGTGAAACATGTTAAAATTACTGGGACACAATGGGAGATTTGCACTTGAACACAGCTTCACACATGACTCTTCCAGTTGAAACTCACTCTTTAGTGAAATATAATGCAAGGTTGGAGAGTCACACCTCCTCAGGATGCCTAGTGCTGTTCCTTGCATGCTACTTTTTAATATTTATTTAGTCTACATTCCCAAGCGCAACGGGTTTTTGATGTCTGATCAGAAGCCTGAGGTCCTACCACAATAAGAACAGTAACAGAAATAATCAGTTTTTCCTTTCGTCAATGATGTCTCCTAGACAGAGCACTGTTTTCTAACAGTAAGTATGGACTTCTTACCTCCTGTACTGAAAGGGTATCAATTTGTTGAGAAGAACCAGGCTCTTCTCCATTTTCAGAAGCAACAATGGAGCTCCTACGGTTTAAAAGAAAATTCAGCTTAAGAACAACATTTGAAATACAAAAGGGAAAAAAGAAATCCTGGCTAATGCTTAAAAATAGTGCAGCTATTCATTAGGGTATCATCACCCAATGAAGGGTAATCTAACATCATACTTGCAAGTTTATCAAACTTAATACTAAATGTTTAAATGCACACAGTAATCTACTCAGTAGTACATTTACAGTATCACAAAATTTATCCATATATCTGACTTCTATGAATCTACAGCACATCATGCACTCAGTCACCCACTCTTTCTTAGATGACTGTCCTTTTCCAGCATGAGACAGCAGGGCCCTGTACGTATCTGACATAATTTGCTGAAGCTTTTCCAGCTTCTGTTCACAGTCTGCAGTCAGTGTTTGTATGCCTGGGACAGTTTCTTCTGACAGCCTTCTCAATTTTTTAAGGTCTTCTAATGACTTGCTAAGTTCCCTCAGGCTGCCTTCCTGTGAAAAAAAGGCCTAAACGAAGAAAAACAATATCATAAACTCATGTTAAGTCATAAGGATATGCAATTATTCTCATACATTTTTTTCTATTTCCATTGTCTTCTTGGATGAGTGCACTCCAAGCGTATGCTGTCAAACCAGGAGAGAAACATTTATTTTCCTTCGATTGTTTTTCACATAGAGCCAGGAAAGAAATTAGGATTTCTGGCAACATGTTGCCCAGCTGCATTCACAAGACTATACTGAGTCTTGCTGGATTTTGAAATTCATTATGTTACTACAATTTTAGCTACTTTTGGTCCCAAATCCTCTTCACACTGACATCGAAATACATGTCCCACTGACTACAGAAAAAATAGAATTGGAAAATTTGTTTAAAATATTCCCCATCAATAGTTACACTTTCTAGGGTGAAATCAAGATATATGAAAAATCTAACAAAAATATGAGCAGAAGGAATGCACCTGATAAAGCTTATTTCTCTTTATATATGAAAAATCTAACAAAAATATGAGCAGAGGAATGCACCTGAGAAAGCTTATTTCTCTTTCCTCTTGCATATGTAATATTTGCTGAAGACAAACCCATGAGAAGCAAAGACTAAAACTCCGCTGAATCCAATGACAACCAGAATTTCATCAGGAGATCAATTTCTTACCCTTGTAAGTGGTAAACCAGCCACATCAATGCATCTCAAAGAGGAGGATGAAGGAAAATACTAGAAGCAACGAAGTGTAAAACCTATCACTTATTAAGTAAGGAATATGTAAGATTCCCCATGACTCACCCTCGTAAGTGAAACATTAACTTCTTAGTCTAACTCTGTGGTTAATTTAGACACACAAACACAGAGGTAAAGTGCAGCTACTGCACTGTGAGAAGGTACTCTCATCTAAAGGCACTTCACACCATCTATGCAACTGCAACAAATCAAAAGAGTCACAGAACACCTAATCATTTCTCATTTTTACGCTTTGCATAGCTAAATCTGTTTTAGTGCTTTAAGGCTGTCTTTAAAAAAAAAGAAAAAAGATACTATCCATGTAAGGAAGAGGTAATTCTCAGTCTACAAGAAGGCTAATATCTTCAGACAAAAAAGGTAAAGAAATAATTTGGGTGGCCTCTTTGTTCTCTGTTTACATAAGACCAAGCACAAGGGCTCTGTTCCACAAACACAGGCTGCAATAATGTACCTAAAAAGGAGCAAGAAGGGCAGACAAAGCATTCACAAGGAGAAGTAGGTGAGCAGAAAAGGAGTGTGCCAGGTACCTCATGTTCCTTGACGAGCCCTTTGGTTTTATCCATATTTAGGAGTTTCTTCTCTTTGCCTAACTGCTTATTGATTTTTTTTAAAGTTGCATTAAATTTCTTTTTTTCCCTTTCTACTATGAGCTGGACACAGGATACTATTTCATGATGAACTGCCTGCAAAATTCAAAACACATTATCTCTGTGAGATGGTAAGACAGTATTACAAAGCAAATAAAAACCTCAGAACACAGTGTGACAAAAAAAATGTTTTTCAAAGATGCCAGGCCTAATGAAAACAGACAGTGGTTCTCCTTCCTATATTATCTCACCTCCCATCTTTTACGAACATCTTTACTCTTTTCTTCCACTACCAACTTTTCGCCATCAGATGAAACATTTTTCAGTTGTTCAGCTGCTTTCAAAAATTTGTCAAGAACTTTATTGTCCAAAGCATTAAAAGCTTCCTGCAAGAAAAGCATCATCATGAAAAATAAACAGAACTGAACCTAGCTTATTTACTGAATCAAATTACATCAGTAGCATACAAAAAACACACATAAAGCATGTATACACTTCATGTATAGGCTGTGATGGCCCTTGCATGGGTGAGTATGAGGGCATTCTCCCCCTCTTGCACACCTGCAAAAGGCTGGAGACAGTATCAGTGTATGCTTTTCAGAGAAAAGCAGATGTTCTTCTCATAACTCCTATTTTAGGGGCAAATTTGGTACCAAAGAAGAAAGACTAAGGTCCCTGAACTCTGCCTCATTTCTAGGGAATATACACGTCCACGTCCCATGCCTGTCAGAGAGCAGGTGAAAGCTCTGCACCAGTGCAAAGGGATCCTATGAGGCGGCCTGGAGTGAGGCTCCCCGCTGCTCCCAGAACAAAGCTGCTGTACAAGATGTGGCAACACAGATCTTGAGCACTTCCATTTTTGATACCTCACTAAGGACCCCTTTAAGACACTCAGATTTTGCGATCGAACACTTTCTTGACCAGTTAGCCACTGGGAAAAAGAGGACATTCAGTATTTATAATCATACTTTTAAAACCTGCCCAAGAATTCAGGCATGTGATTCTTGATGGGAATCTTAACTATTAATCAGGCCAAAAAAATGGCTGCAGTTCAGAACATGATGGGTTGGGATGATGGAGTAATTTAAATTAAGACAGGGCACTGAATAAACTGCCATACAGATTTACATTTCTTCATTCAAGCTGTCTGCCAAGTCAATATATGCTAACACTGCTAAATCAAAAAGCTGAGAAAAGAATTAGTAACTACCAAAAAAAAAAAACCACTGTTCTTTTTCTCACAGTGGTACCTTAGCCTTTTAGATACTAACTAGTACTAAGAAACGCTCAGATTCAGCTGGCTCAGAAAACAAACCCACCTCATATCTTGAAATACATTCTTCAGGACTTAATTTTTGACTGACAAGTTGCACAGCCTTTGAAATAGAGGCCTCAAGTTCTTTCTGGGATTCTTCAAAGTTGAGCAAAGCCTCCTTCTCTGCAGGTGTCTTCTCAGATTTGGACAAGATGTTGTTCATGTCACCCATGAAAGCCTTGGAAGTAAGAGACTCTTTTCAGAACGTGCCTGAGTGTCAGTAACTACGTAAAGCTATTCCTTCATAACATCACTCAAGTTGTTTGCGTTGAGACACTGATCTTTGAAACATTCTAGTTTTTGTCCCGTCAGGAGTCTGGGAGACTGATTCCAATAGTATAAACCCTTTTTTATTTTAAATTAATGAAAACGAGTCTTCCTAATCACGCAACGCTAAAATTAGAGATGTCTGTGGGTATAAACTACAATAACAACAAAAAAGGAGTACCTCTATTTTGCCTCTGGCTTCTTTAACTCGTGCCTGCAGCCCAGTGGTGTGAGAATGCTGTTGGGACACCTGACTTGAAACACTTTGTGTCAGGGATTGCAGTATCTCTTCTGCTGCCACAATGTCTTCTTGGCACGAGGCTCCCCTTGCAGCCAAGCTCTGATTTAACGAAAAGCAAGAGAAGTACAGTACTTCTGTTTTTTGTTTAAAGGATCACGGGTGGTCAATATTTGGTCAAGGAAAAATCTTATATTCCAATTATGGTCAGTGCATCGCACTGCAAAAATCTCTGTGTAGACAGAAAGAAATTTGCTGCCATCCACAGGGGATTCTGTTAGCTGGAACATTCTTTCTGACAATGTGACACCTCCCACGTCTCTGTCTCAGAGGCAGTCAGAAGTATTTTTTGAACACGCTCTCCCATCCAAACAGCTTTCCAAATGAATGTACAAACCACACATTTGGATATGCACCGTCTGACCATGAAGTCATCCAAAAGCAGGCACATATCAAGGCTCGGATTTTCTTGTGGTATTCAGTAATAAAAGGCAGGAAGCAGCTGGGCATTTTGCATGCAGAAGTAGTATGCCATGTTTGAATACTTATTGTGAAATGCCGCTATTAGAGCTGGTTTGATCTGTGAATATTCAACACGCTTTCCTGTTTGAAGTTGTCAATTAGCATTCTTCTAATGATAATCAGTGCTTTATTCTGGATCTTGACCTACTGTACCTGATGTAATACGCGACCTGATCTCTTCCGCTCACAGACATGGAGGCACCACTACCAGTCACATTTTTGGAGGCTGTACTTCAGGGTGTCCTTTGTTACTCTGTTGTCTTTAACAAACTAGTGTCACACTGCAAAAATTAGGCTCACTTTATAAACATATGCCCACTGTTGCAAAGAGATGAATAGATTCTTTACATAGGCTCACACTACAAATTCCGTCAACTGTGCGACAAGGCACAAACCAGAAGTAAACTAACACTAATTCTGGTTCACAGTTACTGTAGGTGGATCTAAGGTACCAAAGAAGATCTCTGTTTAATTTTAGCCCTTAGACAGAAGAGTTCTAATGAAACCTCCTTCGGGTGGTCACCTTCCTACTGTTAGAATATACCATATTCTGCTATGCAGAAATAGCAAAAGGCAACCCAATACAGTGCTTCAGCTTCTCCAGTGCAAAGCTTGGGATCTTTGTTCAGTCCCACCTTCACTGGGAGGTGAAGAAAATAAATCAGTCTTTGTACTGAAGCTGATTATATATATATATATATATTTCCACCTGCTGGAGGTGGAAACGGTAGTCCCTGGCAGAGAGACATGAGAAACAATAGAGACTAGTGGAAGTAACAAGAAATTAATCGGTGCTCATTGTGGATGTTTACAGCAACTGAGATGCACAAATTACCCAGCATGCTGCTGAAAATACTTCAAGTGCTCGAGTTTTTGACAAGTAAGCCTTGAATGCAGCAAAGTTGTCCCAAACACCCACCCTGCACTGCAAGGCAGATGACAGAAAGTGCTGTATGACCAGGGGAAATTCTCAACTTGGCACTTTGCAAAGTTTTAGTCTGCTGCAAATGCTGTGCTGGACAGGGAGTAATTAATACCACTAAAGAACAAGCTGCTGCAAGATCAGTGGCTGCACCAGAACTTCATTGCACCTGTTTGTCATCTGGACACACTGACGTTGGAAGATTCATTTATAGCTCATCTGGGAGTGATCCTGGGAAATAACATCAAAATACTAGCACTGCCTTTACTTTTTACCAGTGTTACAGCACAAAATCCATATTCATTTCTGCTTCAGATGACAGCACATTTTACCCCAGCAATGAATCTGTGCTGAAAGATGAGAATCTGATGAACAAGTATTTTAAGCAGTGTATTTCCATTTTCACCTGCAAATGTTCCTCCGTCTCACGTTGCATACGACCCTCGTGACTGATCTCGCCAAGCAGGCATCCAATCTCTGCTGCCCAGCTGTCCACCCTTCCAAGGAGCTCCTCAATTTTCTCCAGGTTCCCTGGAAGCTCCCTGGTCTTTTCAACAGCATCTGTGCTCTCTTCACCAAGCTATAAACAAAGAGCAGGGTAAGATGTTCATACCCATCATTGGTTCATGAGTCTCTCCACTACCCTCCTGCAACACACAGTCACCACTCAGGTTACTTTCCAGTTTTTGCATCCAACAGGGATCAAAGGAGAAATAAATGGCAAACATACTGGTAAATAAACCACATGAGGCTCAGTTCTTCAACCCTGAGGGCAGGTGGGACAGCA